CTCCTTTGTCAGCCAAGACTGCTAAAACACACATATTTGAGAAAAAATGTTCGTTAGCATTCAAAGCTATTAGTGACTCACTAAATAATTCTTTATCATTGTGAAATGACTACAGCAATTTTACAAAGCAAAAAAAAATTAATTTGCTTATAAATTATCAATTGCTTCATAATGAACCACTTTGAGACTTAGTGACTAAAAACAGCAGATGTTTTATTGCTCACAGGTCTGTTGCCAGGAATTCAGGCAGGGCTTAGCGGAGATGTCTAGTCTCTGCTTTATGAGGTGTCAGCTATCTTCACTTAACTGGGGTGGAAGGTCCAAGATGGCTTAACTCACATTACTGAAGTCTTGGTGCTGCCTCTTGGCTGAAGTTACTTGATTCTTCTCCACAAGGCCTCTCTCCATTCAGGAGTTTAGCCTAAGCTTTCTTACATAATGACTGGCTTCCAAAAGAGTGAAGGAGGAGGAAAGATGCTAATTCTCTTAAAGCCTGAGTCTGGAACTGGCATTATATTCTTCTGCAGTATTCCATGACAGAAGGACTAGAATGGTGGAAAAGGGAAATAGACATTACGCAGCTTGATCATAGGAGGAAATTTTGGCAGTTATCTTTGCATCTAACCTAACACACCTTGTTATATTGAGAAACCTACTATGTAAGAGTGAAACTATTGAAAGAGAGAAGGCATATCAGTTGAAATGCTTTTGGCTGCAGTAACAGGAACCTTACTAGATGTCCTTATTGTTTAAGCCTTTTTAAAACAAATCCTAATAGCTAGATGCATGGAGATAAAATCATTCCCAGGGTTGGTTACTTCTGCATCTGGACAATATTGTCAAGGACACAGGTTTCTTTCTTCTTTTGGCTCTGCCATCTTTAAGTGTGTTGTTCTCCCGTCTGGCTTGCTTTATGGTCCTAAAATGATTCCCTCAGTTCCAGATTACAGATAATGTTCAGAGACCAAAAAGGGGAACACCTTTATCTTCTGCCCCTTTAAAAGATTAAGGAAACTCTTTTTCCCCGGCAGATTTCTCTGTCATGTCTTATTAACTGAAATTGCTTTGAGTGCTTATGTCTATCACTGATAGGGAGGTAAGGCCTCCATGGTGGGATTAGGACAATTGCAATTTATATCTTAGGGCTAAGGAGAAGGCCAGCCTCTCCTAAAGGACACAGACACTCAGGGGAGAATGCATGAAATTAGGGCTGTGTTAAAAAGGTAGAAAAGGGAGATAAATAGATGAATGTTGAGTTTGCAACAGTAATATCTGCTTTGATAGGTAATCTGATTCCCTTGTATAGGTAAGAAAGTGAGACACTGAGAAAAAAATCCAGACTCCTGTCCTTCCTTATAAGATGTTACATATGTTTAAAATATAAAATATTAATAATTACTTACTTGCAAGAGATGTAGACTAGAGATTTAGAGCTAATTTCTGGGACACAGTTTAAGTTCCCACTGAGATAGCAACTGATTACCCCGTAGGGCTGTAGGGCCTTAGGGCCTCCTTAGAGCCCCTTAACGGCTTTAGCCAGCAATTTCCATGACTTACTTAACTTTCAATGCTATTGATTATATCAGTGCCCTTGAAATCATTCCCTCCATCTTCCGCCATCCCCAATCTCACACATATCCAGTCTGCTTTAATATGAAAATATTTGCTAAATTATTGAATCAAGGTTAGAGAAGTATAATTTTTGTTTTTCTCCTTCAGATGTTCTTAATTTTTGTTTCTGTTTTTTTAATGATACGTATGACAGGTGTGAAATAATGTCAGCTCCAGGCATTACCAGTGATCAGTGAGTAAGGTTGCTCATTCAGTGAAGTCCAACTGCTTGAATTACTGTATCATGCAACATCGGTCTACTTTATGATATTTATCAAGTGAGATAAGCCCATTGAAAGTCTCTTAACTGTAAACAACTATTCAATAATAAAGGATAGAGAAAATGGCTTCTGATGCACAAAGGAAAGGAATCATTTTCTTTTATTTTTATTTTTTATAGAAAAATTTTTTTTTCCACAGAGACGAGGTCTCAATATATTACCCAGGATGGTCTTAAACTCCTGGGCTCAAGTGATCCTCCCGTCTCAGCCTCCCAAAGTGCTGGGATTACAGGCATGAGACACTACACCTGGCCAAATCATTTTCTCATTCAGCAAATATTATGAAATATTGGTATATGTGAAACACAGAAGAAAAGTAGGGATTCAAATGAAGTAAAATATATGCCCTTTCCCCTCACTCATCACTGTAATTCCTAGAGTATCAATTCCATGAGGGGAAGGCTTTTGTCTTCCATTGTTGTCTCTCCTGTACGGCCTAGCATTGTGTAGATATGTTGATGAATAAATGAATGAATATATAATACATATATGCAAGACGGAGTATTGATGCAAAAACTAGTGAGAGTATTTGAAGCATTCAAAGAAATGGAGTATACATGTAGGAACATTTTTAATAATATGCTTAGACTATTTTAATATGAACCCAGGATTTGTTTTTATCAGTTATGGTAAGATGACAGACACAGAGGCCATTGCCTTTACAAGAAGAGTTGTTTATTACAATTCTAGAGGATAAGACGCATGGTATGCCATGGGACCACTTGCAGGGAGAAGCAGGGAGAGTGAGAATGAGTGAGAAACGAACTGATGCTAAGCCTTTATTACTATAGTGGCGGTAAGTTGCAAAGTGGAGATGTGCGGGCAAGAAGCAAAACACACATATTGGGGCTAGTGGTTGGAGGGTTTGTAGTGAGATTTCTGAGGTCCTGAGAAAACACAGGGATGGTAGAGGTATAAACAACCTTGAGCCTCCAGCACTGGCCAGTGACTATAAGCTACCACATCATCAATTACAGGATATCAAGAATAGTCACTGTACTATTGTATTCTATGGCTCTTCCATGATGTCACTAATTTAGCAGTTGTATTTTTCAGAGACAGATAATAGGATGTATTAACAGAGCATGACAGTGCTTATTTGTAGTATCCAAAACAGTAAACAAAGGCCTTAGTTACTAAGTTGTTTCTGTTGGCTGCTAATGTCAAAGAAAGCCTTTGAGGTTTCTCCTGACATTTATTCTTGTGTTTATCAAGTATAGAACAGAGTTAAAGCTTCAGGTAGGCTATTATTATTGTTTTACTTTTTGCAGGTTAACCACAGTGATAAATCATTTGACAGGGTCCCACCGCAGCTCTTAATTCTGTCAGTCACTTCAGAAAGATCTTCCACTGGGATTCTGTTCTGTCTTAGGGATAATTCAACAATGATACATAGATACATTCTAAGAACTTAAAAAAAAAGGCAATGCCTAAATGCGTGGAATATGAGTAATAAAAAGAAAAACACATGTTCTCGTAGTTTTGTGGGTAGAAAACTTGAACATTTGGAGGGAAAGCATTGAAAAAAAAAGCTGTAGGAATTAAGTGATAAAAGACACTCACCTCATTTCATTATACCTATTATATGTGATAAGGTGGATATGTTTAAAAACCTAATCTGTGGATATCTTTAAAAATCCAATCTGGTTGCCTTGAGCTTGTATTATTTGCCTAAATTCTTTTGTTGTAGCTATCATTATTAAAATGAGAGTTAGATTTTAATTGAATTCTTGATAGACAATGAATTTATTGAATACTCATTGGGTTTCTGTTTGACGTTGTCTAATAAGAAACTTATTTCTTTTAATCTTGCTTGGCAACATAGTGGTAAATGAATAACTAATTTACATATTCCCCCAAATTACCTTAAAGCCTCCTAAATGCCAAATATACTTTTATTTTTAAATATCTTTCAGGTGGTACAATATAATTTGCTTATCTTTCTGGATATGTGTAGCTTTTAAAAATTATTTTTATATATTATTTTATATATTATGTTTTTATGACTGGGATTATACTGCTGCATGTCATACTTTTCTTGTAAATGGCTACTTCTTATATTTAAAATATCCAGTTGAATACCTTCTTGTGAAACTTCCTTTATTTATAGTTTACCAGTTTGAAATTTGTAATCAAGTATACAGACAATAAATTGACTTTCATTACTGGTTTTGGAAATGATTATCCAAAGGGAACTTTTGGGGCTAGCACCTTGGGGAGGAAGGGGCAAGTGAGTATGGACAGAGTAATATAGTGTTTAAAAGGTCAGGTTCTGAAGAAAGCCTGGTTCAAATCTCTGCTCTCTTAATTCTTAGCTCTGTGACCTTGTACAAGTTTCTTAAACTCTGTATACCTCAGTTTCTTCTTCTGAAAAATAAGAATGATTATTGTGTCTACCTCATAACATTGTTGTAAGCATCAAGTGAATCAATACATTTAGAACAGTGGTCAATAAATGTGTATTGTTATTTGTGGGAGGAGGTATTGAGTCGGTGGGGAGAATGTGGAGGCTAGAAGAAGGAATATTTCTGCAGGTTTGGATATGCCCAATGATAAGAACAATTTAGGGTCATTATTAAAAATAAACCTTTCTATGTCTTCAATCAGAACACCTGGGGGGAGGGTTCTATCTATTTTTTAGCAAATACCCCAGATGATTCTTAGTATCAGTTAGTTTAGGAAACTGTGATATGGTAGACAGAGTACAGGCTTTAGGGTCAGACAGATGTGGATGCTGATCCATCCATTAAACAATTATGTGTAAATGTCTACAGGTACCATTCTTTGGCTACAGCAGATACTAAATCTGATAAAAATATTTCTACGTTTATCCTTATAGACCTTATAGTATATATTGGGATTTCCACTCTAAGACACCAACCAGGGCCTCATTGAGTGACTATAATGGACTTATTTTTTATTTTTTTTATTTTACAGACATAGTCTTACTCTGTCAATCTGCTCAATCGATCCTCCTGCCTCAACTCCTGAGTAGCTGGGAAGACAGGTGCACATCTCCAAGTCTGGCTAATTTTTGTAATTTTTTTTTTTTTTTGTAGAGATGGGGTCTCACCACGTTGCCCTGGCTGGTGTCAAGCTTCTGGGCTCAGCAATCTGTCTGCCTTGGCCTCCCAAAGTGTTGGGATTACAGGTATGAGCCACCATGCCCAGCCCATATTTACCAGATTTGGAATACCAAAAAGTATTTGACAGTGATTTGAATTGGAGTTCAGTTTAATATAATTGCTGTCCTTATCTACTTCTAAGATCAAAACGGGAACAGAAACCCTGTTTTGTTTGTTTTTTAGTAAATGAATTAAAGAACACTAGTATTAAGATCAATGTAAGAGTGCTATTTAATTTAATACTGTGAAAAATAAACATTAAAGATAAAATACGATTTTCTTGTAATCTTTTGAGTATTGCAGTTTTTATCCTTTGATTTGCAGATTCTGGATATATCTTCCACTGGCTATGGTGGTTTTCTCTTCTTTCTACTGTTGGTGCTCATGCATTAAATACAGTATTTAAAAACATTAAAAACAAAAATGCATTTTGGACATTGCTGTCAAGGAAATGAGATGTTCATTCTAGTGGCATTTTAGACAGCTGAAGCTTACCTCTTCAAGAGCCAGAGTTATCACATTTTGCACCTTCTAGTTATATTGTACATTTCCATCTCTTTACAGAGTATATTGAACACTCTTAGGGCTATAATTTACTCTCACACAAAGTATGATTTTTGGAAATTATGGAAGTATTGGAAGAAGGATACAAACTCACTTCTCATTTACTATTCAACCTGAGGCAATCCACTTTCCTGTTACCATTCCACTAAAGTTGAATCCTTGAACATAATGACTTCTCAATCCTTAGCCTTCCTGCATTTTAGCATTTATCACTGTTAATAGCTTGTCCATTTTTTTTTAGATTCTAGGGCACTATTTTTCCTCTCTCTCTCCATCCACACCTTTGCCCTACTGCTGCTGCCTCCTCCTTTCTGGTTACTTCCTTCTGAGGTCATCTTCAACACTCCTCTCTTCTCCATATATATTCCTGCTCTGGCAGTGATTTCATTCTTCCACTTATGCATAAACTATCCCCAAATTTGTACTTCCAACCCTCACTTGTCTACCAAGCTCTAAATCTTAATATCCAACTTGTGTGAGCATCTGTTCTGGACAATTCACCAATGTCTCAACATTCACACAGCCAAATCCAATTCGACTATCTTCCCCCATCTTAAATTTTATTATTAGTCATAAATTGTTGTTATTATGAATTATTAAAATAGAATAATTATCTTACTTTCTTAACTTTCCTTTTTGCATCACACTGTCAAGACTAAGTAGAAATTTTAGGGCAGTGTAAGGGACCAGAAAAATTGGCCATTCTTTAACTGTGGTCCTATTGAAGCATCATTTGAAATAGCTCAAATTTATCTTCTTTTTCTTACTGCTGTTTCAATTCCGGTCTTTGCTGTCTTTCTTGTAATAGCTTTTTAGTCCTTGTCTCCTCTCTCTCCTCTTATTCCAATGCATCTTTCAGATTGCTGCCAGAGTCTTAATATGAATTTGATTATGTAATCATGCTATTTTATAAATATTTGCTGCTTTGCCATGTCCACCAAATACAAGGTACATACCCTTGCCATACCATCCAACATATTCCTTCTTCTGACCCAAACCCATGTTCACCCCACATACTCAGGCACCAAAGGTGATGTGCCATTTCTCTTATCCTATTCTGTTCAACTTCCTGGAATTTGCTCCAAATATTATTATTTATTTATTTGTTTGTCTATTTATTTGTTTTGAGACAGAGTCTCGCTCTGTCGCCCAGGCTGGAGGTGCAGTGGCATGAATTTGGCTGACTGCAAAGATTCGCCTCCTGGGTTCACGCCCATTCTCCTGCTCAGCTCCCGAGTAGCTGTGACTACAGGCGCCCACCACCATGCCTGGCTAAGTTTTTTGGTATTTTTTAGTGGAGACGGGGTTTCACCCTGTTAGCCAGATGCTCTCGATCTCCTGACCTTGTGATCTGCCCACTCGGCCTCCCAAGTGCTGGGATTACAGCCTGAGGCCCGCGCCGGGCCTATTATTTTAACTAATCTTTTTGCTTTTGGTTGAAATTTTCAGCATTCCTTCAGGGGCAGATTACATGATTTTCCTTGTAAACCTTCCTCAGCTCCCTAGGAAGGGCTCTGTTATGATGTGCTCCTCTTGACTTATTTATTTATTTATTGAGACAGGGTCTTCACTGTTACCCAGGCTGTGTGCAGTGGCATGATCGGCTTACTGCAATCTCCACCTCCACCAACTCAAGCAATTCATCCCACTTCAGCCTCCAGAGTAGCTGGGACTACAGGTCACGAGACACCTACACCAGCTTAAAATATATATATATAAAAGAAATGGGGTTTGCTGTGTTGCCCAGGCTGGTGTTGAACTCTGGGCTCAAGGGATCCCCCATGTCCGCCTCCCAGAGTGCTGGATTACAAGTGTGAGCACTTCTCCTCTTGACTTATTTATGTAGTTCTTCTCAGACCTGGCAAAGGCACTTTGAGCATAATGTTAATTTTCTTTTTAAAATTCAGAAATTACTCATATTTAAGAAATTATCCTTAAAAGGATTTTTCATTACCATTTTGTGTTTATTTGTAAATTTCTTGTTGGATTTCTTAGAAAACAAAGTAATATAATCATTGTCATATTCACCTTTTGACAACATTTAAAAACTGTCATACCTGTTTTATATACAATGTAGGTACAGAAAAATTTAATAACTTGGTTCAACACTCATCAACTGAGGTGGAACTGTATAATAGAACTTAGAGTGATGGTTCCTGATTTGTACCTCTGTTCTCCAGTGCTGCGCTGCGCATGAAAGGCCATCAGTGAGGACTAGCTTAGATTATGGGAGCCAACCATTGTCTTCAGGTCTTCAGTTTCATTTTTGAAGTATATAGGTCTAACCTGACTCTACTTGACACATTTCTAAGGGCCTTAAGTGGCTATATAATTTTAAACAAGTCTCAGGAAATTTGATGAAGTTAGACAAGTCTAGCCAATGTGTTTAAATAGCAACTGATTTCTCAGTTATCCTAGGAAACTGCATCAAAAGTGTAGGACTTCAAAGCTCTTTAAATAGAGGGAATGTCAGGATCTCTTCAAGCTTCACAATCAAGGGGGTACTATTAACAGTTTGTGTAGCTAAGCATGACAACATTAGCAGAGTAAAATTAAGGAATATACACAAGACGGGGCGGATCACAAGGTCAGGAGATCGAGACCATCCTTGGTTAACACGGTGAAACCCCGTCTAGTAAAAATCAAAAACTAGCCGGGCGAGGGTGGCAGGCGCCTGTAGGTCCCAGCTACCTCGGCGAGGCTTGAGGCCAGGAGGAATGGGATAAAACCGGGCAGCGGGCTTGGCAGTGGAGCTGAGATCTGGCCACTTGCACTCCAGCCTGGGCAGCAGAGCTAGACTCCGTCTCAAAAAAAAAAAAAAAAAGAATATACACAAATGAATGCCTTTTACTAAAGAACAAATCTAACCAAACTGAACAAAATAAAAAAGTAATTATCTTTCTAATCTAACTTGCCTACAATTTTACCACAATTTTTACTACTGTATATTAGTCCATAAAAGGACCCCATACTAGTAACATCCTACAGTTATAGTAAAATATATGATATTGAATGTCAATCTATTTCATAGGATAAATTTTTCTGTTTTTATAGAATTTACTTGTACAAGGAATGAATACATTAATTAGCCTAAAAATCCTCACTAGTTCTTAGTTATTTGAGTGCATTACTATTAGTAGTATTTATGTTAATAATATATATAAGGGGTTAGTATTATAAACAGTAAGAAATCACATATTCATCATATTTATTAGACTGAAAGGTCATTAAGTGTGCAAATAATAATTGTTCCAGGTTACTTAAGCATTTTTCTTTTTGTTGTTGTTGTTTTTTTTTTGTTGTTGTTTTTTTTACTTAAGCATTTTTCAATATTTCATGTTCCCAAGATTCTTTTAGCTCTTTCTTCTCTCCTCTCTGGCTTGACAGGAAACTTGCTATTTTGTGTTACATTCACCTATTATTATGCATTAACAAGCAGGTGATAATTAGTGGTGATACTGAAACTAATTGTAAAATGATTGACACCATAAGATGACCTCTACTGCTTTAGAAGTAGTTTGACTGGAGACAGTAGAGTAAATAGATTTTTGTTTACCCTGCATTCCACAGTCCAAGAGTTCTGGTGGCAGTTCTGCGATTGTTTTTCGTCACAGACTGTTGCAGGATTCGACATTTCCCTAGAACATGCTGCCCCCTGTTGGCCATTTAAAGTAGGGCACGTTCAGAAGGATCCTGGTGAAGCCTGCAGTGTAAATTCTCATTCCCAGTAACACATAATTTCTGAACATAGAAATTTGGATTTTAAATGTCTAAAGGCTTTATCAAATATTTTAATTGTAAATAAAAATTATATAACATCCCAAGGAACCAAATAATCTTGAATACTTTCTACAAAACACTTGAATACAAAGATGCTGTAAAAGAATAAATTTTATGGCCGGGTGTGGTGGCTCACTCCTGTCATCCCAGCACTTTGGTAGGCTGAGGCCAGCGGATCACCTGAGATCAGGAGTTCGAGACCAGCCTGGCTAACATAGTGATACCCCATTTTTACCAAAAATACAAAAAATTAGCTGGGCATGGTGGCGAGCGCCTGTAATCCCAGCTACTCGAGAAGCTGAGACAGGAGAATCACTTGAACCTGGGAGACGGAGGTTGCAGTGAGCTGAGATTACGCCATTGCACTCTAGCTTAGGCAACAAGAGGGAAACTCCGTCCAAACAAAAACAAAAAACAAACAAACAAATTTTATCATAGCTACTTTTGAGTTACATGAACAGAGAAAGAAAATTAGCCCTGAAGAATTTGTTTACTAGAATTTTACAGTGAATCTCCTAAGGCTGAATTTCTCTTATACTTATTTAGTCTTATAAATTCAGTATCACTTATTGAGTGATAGTGTATGTGAAAACTAAATAACTTTGGCCTAAATGAAAATGTTGGGTATTTAAAATGTCATTAATATACAAAATATTACTATGTCTTAATTTTTAAACAATTA